CCCACCTGCTAGGCAACTGGTGGTACTCGAATATTGCCATATCCTAAAAGTGGTACAATCTCTGAAAAGGTTGAAAAGCCCTGAATCTAACACAACTCCTCTCTTTTTTTTTTGCACAATATCTCAGCCAGGCTCACCTGTCACACCTAAGAGAAAACAGCAGGAATGGTGAAATAACTAATGATTGGCATTAGGAGGGAATGAATGACCCTTTTCTCCACCTTCTGTTGACATGAATACCAGATCATCTCTGTAACATCTGCTATTCTTGGTCAATGACACTGCCCCTACCTATTTTGCAACTAAGAGTTTTACTCTTCTCTCACCTCCATTCTGGATGAAAAGTAACTTTTCCTGCTTAAACCAATGGAATCCTCGCACAACAACAAAATGTGTATAATTTGTGCCGTGCAACTTATTTTTAGGACAAGTAGACCATGTGATATTGTGCCCTATGCATGGATCTATTCAGAAGCATGTTTGTCTTCCTTTCCTCTGGTTACTGAGAAAAAATCACTGACATGAATCATTAGTTGGAAAAAAGCATGTAAGCTAATCAGTCATACCTCCTACACTGTGAAGGTAGCCAGATCAAAGTATATCCCACAGATAGCTATCCAAGTTCTGCTTGACCACAAATGGGAGCTTATAATCAGCAAAGGATGAGCATTACTTCCTTCAGTAATTAGTTCAAGTACTGAAGTATTCTTATTCTTTGAAATGTTTTGCTAACCTATACCTTAGAACCATGATTTCATATTTTGCACTCCAAGAGGCTGAGTTGGGAGTAACTTTCTTCTAAGTGGCAACTGTTTAAATACTTCAAGAATGCCATCATACTTTTCTTAATCTACTCTTTTCTAGTATCTTAGTAACTCCTTCAATTTTTCTTTGTACCACTTAGTTTCTTATCTCTTGATTATCTTTGTCCCATTTGGTTGATCTTGCTTCAGTTTCCCTGAATCTTTATTATGGTTTGACGAGTACAGAAAAGAGCCTGTTATTGCTTCTCATGATCTGAAAGCTCGTAGATTTAGAAATATCGTGCTATTCATGAATGCAATATCTTACTTCATGATTTGTTGACAAGTTTCCTCTAAATCCTTTGTTCTTGAGAAACAGTCTCATAGGACACCAATTGATTTTATACCCTGGTATTGGACTTGCCATAAGCACCTAGTTGGTCTTGACCTGATACAGTGGGCCTCTATATTTATATATTATACAAATATCTGAACATCATAATCCAATTTTCATGTATATTAATGTTTTCCACAATCTTCATAAATTGTATGTGATAATTAATATGTGTATTTAAATGTAAGCTATGAATGCATACTCTTCACCTAAAATGTTTTTAATAAAAATTTAAGTGATGGTTCATTTAATATTTTAATTTAACACAGAATGTTTTAAATTTGTATTCTGGAGTCTACTTAATATATACAAGAATGAATAAACCAATATTACTGAACACACAAAGACACAGAAACATGTGTATGTGTGTGCACAAACACACACATCTCTCAAGGGAATTTAACCTATATCGCTAATTTGATGGAGTGCTAATAGGTCTCCTAGGTGTCACTGATTTTTCATAGCAGTTATAATTTAAATGTGTATTTCTTGTTGGATCAACAAAAAGAATAGGTTCATCTTATAAAAAATATGGAAAGATTCTTTGAATAGTCTTGTAGATCCTTAGAAATATTCCACATGGAAATATTCCCTTCCTTAGATTCTTAAGTAATTCTATATGTAGCTTTACTAAATAATATATCATGTAAAGCCATCCATTATTTTTGAATGATGGTCCTGAGATATAGGCCACAATGGAGTTTTTATCACATGTAACTTCAGTGTTCTTTGGTCAATTCAGCATAGACTAGTCCAGTGTTTCCCAACCTTGACAATTTTAAGGCATGTGGACTTCAACTCCCAGAATTCCACAGCCAGCATTGCTGGCTGTGGAATTCTGGGAGTTGAAGTCCACATGCCTTAAAATTGTCAAGGTTGAGAAACACTGGACTAGTTGATAAGAATAACTAGGTGAGGAACAGCCTGAAGGGGAATGGATCCAAATTCTATGGTACAAACATCAGAATATATCTACTTTAAGCTGCCATGTTTTATTTTATTTATTTATTTATTTATTTATTAAATTTATATACCGCCCTATCTCCTTATGGGACTCAGGGCGGTGAACAGGCAATACTAAAAACCACGATAATAAATAAATAGTTTCTGTTCTAAAATCGAATTAAATAACAGGCCTGTTCTAAAAACACACCCATACAAAAACCCCCACTGAAACATAATCAAACTACGCCAGGCCGGCCGCACGGAATAGATGGGCCTTCAGGGCTCGGCGAAAAAGGCGCAGGTCCGCAACTGTACGTAGGTCGGGGGGNATATATATATATATATATATATATATATATATATATATATATATATATATATATATATATATATATATATATATATATATATATGTTCAATAATGCAATCCTCGATCTCCGGGAGAGGTATAAACCAGCTGTTTATTGTTAAAACAATAATTAAAACAATAAAAACAGCTATATACAAAATTAAAAAACAACTTAGCTTTCGCTGGTCCTCTGCCAGCGTCCTCAGAGTGGGGCTCAGGGGGTGGGGAGGTTCTTTTTTATACACCTTGCTGATCCAACTGCTTACTCATTGCCCGTGTAATAGGGCCATTCTTCCTGATTAGCTGTAATTGTAATTGTATAAAAAAGAACCTCCCCACCCCGAGCCCCACTCTGAGGACGCTGGCAGAGGACCAGCGAAAGCTAAGTTGTTTTTTAACTTTGTATATAGCTGTTTTTATTGTTTTAATTATTGTTTTAACAATAAACAACTGGTTTATACCTCTCCCGGAGATCGAGGATTGCATTATTGAACAAATATGCCCGGGATTCGCATTTTTGCAACTATTAAGGACATATATATATGTGTGTGTGTGTGTGTATATATGTATATGTATGTATGTATATATGTATATGTATGTATGTATGTATGTATATGTATATATGTGTATATATATGTACATGTATATAAAATAATCTTGAAGATGTGAGTCTCGGGTATATTCATATTCAAAAAACTAAAACCCAGATCACCGAGACTGAAGAATTTATTTAAAAACGTAGCTTTCATCAGCGTCTGCTGACATCGTCAGAGTTCTAGCCATGATTGAGAATCACGTTCTTATAGTCTCTGTAACGCCAAGCATTTGGCTAATGAGCGTGTTACCAGTCTATTCAGCTCCCCCCCCCATAGTTAATTGCTCTGTTGTTGTTTAAGAGGTAAGTTTTTAAATAAATTCTTCAGTCTCAGTGATCTGTGTTTTAGTTTTTTGAATATATATTTTTGTGTGTGTGTATGTGTGTGTTTGTATGTGTATGTATACACATGTATACACATACAACCTACCATTAAAATTATAGACTGATCATTTATATATATAAAGTTTGGATATAAAGATTATTAGATGGTGTATTATAGGATTAAATACTGTTGGAATATAGCCAAAAGAATAGATAAAGCTTGTAAAGGGGCCCTATAGTAAGAGGAATAAGATATATAAGCAGTATAACACTTTTAGAATATATGAAATGTTAAAACATTGAGAGGGTCTATTTAAATGAAAAATTTAGATATTTAAATGTAATGAATTTTGAGAAAATTATGACTGATAAGAGTGGTCTGAATAATGAGGGGTAACTAAGCTTCAATAAGAATCTTGAAAACAGGACATATATTGACTTAATAAGATGACTTTTATAAATACAATGGAAATACAAGCTGATTAAAAACGTTATATGTTGATATTATTATATGCATAAATACTAAAAAATGTTTATATTCAATTTGGTATATACTGAAAATATTAAGAATTATATTTGTTTAATTTAGACAAAAGGAAAATATTACAGGAAGAAGAGAGAATCAAGAAATATATTACCAACATATTAATTGTAGAAATTAATTATTATTGTTTTAAATATATGAACCCAGACAACACACTGTTCACGAAACATTAAAGATTGTTATTGCAAAAAATTAATAAAATATATTTTAGAAAAAGAAGCACATTAAGGACCTGGCCAGTCTCCAGACCTTAATTCCATAGAAAATCTGTGGAGGGAGCTGAAAGTTCGAGCTGCCAAATGTTAGCCTCGAGACCTTAATGACTTGGAGAGGATCTGCAAAGAGGAGTGGGACAAAATCCCTCCTGAGATGTGTGCAAACCTGGTGGCCAACTACAAGAAACGTCTGACCTCTGTGATTGCCAACAAGGGTTTTGCCACCAAGTACTAAGTCATGTTTTACGAAGGGGTCAAATACTTATTTCACTCATTAAAATGCAAATCAACATAATTTTTTTGAAATGCGTTTCTCTGGATTTTTTTGTTGTTATTCTGTCTCTCACTGTTAAAATAAACCTACCATTAAAATTATAGACTGATCATTTCTTTGTCAGTGGCAAATGTACAAAATCAGGAGGGGATCAAATACTTTTTCCCGTCACTGTATATGAGTTCTATTCACTGTAGCTGATTTAAACATCCATTGTTATATCTCAACATGGTATGAACAAAACAAATCAACTATGCTCTCAGAACCAGTAAATACTTGAATTTTGTTAAGCCCAAAATGTTTGTAGAACAGTAAACTGAAGGATTTTGCCATAAGTAATGTTTTCTACACAGAATTATTAAATTCTCTTAATTAAGTCAAAAATTTCTGAAGCTTAATTATTTGAAACAATTTTCCTGCTTGAATTCTTAGAATTTTGCTCCTGCTCTGATTTTTCGATTAGATATTATAAATGCAGTGTGAAAGGCAGCATAGAACTGTTATTACTGCATGATTTTCTGGTTTCCTTGTATGACATAATTCTTTAAATTAAATAGGCAATATAGCATAAATCAGGGGTGTCAAACATTATTATTAGCAAATAACTGACAACCTACAGCTGTAAGTTTTTTCACTGCCACTGTTTGGCCATTGATGCATCCTTTGTAAACCACTCCAAAGCCTCCTTCACCAATCTTGTTGCCACCAGCTGACAGAGTTTGGTCATCAAAGTTATTTGTAATACTTTTCAGTTCATAAAATAAGAAGCTTTTCAATCCTGGGCAGAAGGGGGAAAGGGCAAAGAGAACAAGTCAAACCATTTTAAGCATGGAAATCTTATAATCCAAACTCTAGATTAATTTATTTACATATTGTAAATCACATATTGTCCTAGTGCTATGCTATATAGCAATCTAAAAGTAATAAACATTATTAACAGGGCTCAGAGGCTTTCCAATAACTATTATAGTGACTTCATCTCCAAAGGAAGGCCATCATATAGTGCAGGGGTGTCAAACTGCCGGCCCATGGGCCGCATGTGTCATGCTGAAACCGCGCCCATCCCATTGTCAGCAATGGAGAAAAAGTCACGATATGTCGCTACACGTCACGTGACATTGCGAGTTTGACACCCCTGATATAGTGCATTATTATAATCCAAGCAGTGATCAATGTACAACAAAGTGGATCAAATTAAAGTTTTTAGACAGTGGTTGGAATCAAATACTTGAATGAGGTTGGGCAAACACAATTAGTTTAATATACTGATGTAGACATTTTGCAAGCAACCAAGGCTGGCATTGTAGGATGAATGGAAATTTCCTTGGTTCTTAGATATGACATCTTTCCAGCTTAAGGATCTGGTGGTTTATTAGGTTACTAATAAATAATTAGAGGCTTTTATAAATTAACTTTAGCCAGAGCCATTACTTCATTTGTGCTTTTACCTGTTAGAAGTAACATTTCATAACATCTGACAGCAAGACCTGGGTGGGGGGTTTGCCCACAAACAGTCCACAAATGTCTCCTATATGGTCTACCAAGTTGTACCTTTGATACTTCCAAGCAAATTTGTTACTGGAATAACAAATGGTTAGGAGCCTGGAGATAAGTAATTTATCATAGTGGCAAATATCTATACAGTAGCTCGGGTATATGATGAGGGTGAAAGTTTGTTCTCTGAGCATATAGGTTGGTTTCTGAATGTTTCGTTACTAGGCTAGGTAATATTTTCAATGGAGTTTAGGGAACGTCAGTATCAGTGTTCTGTTTATAAGGGCTTTGGTATGGTCAATAGGTCTTGTGATGGGTCAGGTGTGAGTGTGTCAAGTGAGGTTCTTGTGATGGGTCTTGTAATGAGTCAGGTGTGGGTGTGTCAAGTGAGGGTCTTGTAAATAGGTCTTGTGATGGGTCACATTCATCACAAAGCCCTTATAAACAGAACACTGACACTGACATCCCCTAAACTCCGCTGAAGATGTTACCTAGCCTGGTAACAAAACATTTGGAAACCAACCACAAGCTCAGAGAATGAACCTTCACTCTCAATTTATCATAGCATAATAAAAAAACACATGGAGGTATTCAACTTGTATGATGATATAGAATTAAATAATTAATGAAGTATTGTGGGATGGTTTTGCTTTGTGTGCATGTATGACTGTCATTTAACTTTGTAACCAATGAATAATTCTCTTACTTTTGTTTCCTGTAGCAAATTGTATAAAAATAACTGACTGATTTTTGGGGCGTTCCTTGAATGTAAACCCCAAAGGCATCCTCTTTTGCTTCTGTTCAGAAATAAGAGCTTTGCCTTTCCTCAATTCCTATGTGGACATTGGATTCTTCACACCAGATTCTTGTATCTAGCCAGCCTTCTGGCCAAAAGCATTTTCAGAGACAAGATGGTTTGCTATGCAGACCACAGGAAACTGAGCAGATCTATCTTTATAGCCAGGTGCCCTGACTGCTGATTGACAGTATTACAGTATCAAAGCATAATACCCAGAATCCTCTAGAAAGAAACAGCCTTGTTTCATTTTGTCAACAGCTGTAAGTTTGTATATCTCTACCAGCTTGTCATCATCTGAAACCAACCTCTACACTGGAATGGACAAGCAAGGGTGGAGTAAAAGATGACATAAAGTTTGGAAAGGATAATTATCTACCTGTATCATTAAGGTGACTGCTGCTGTTCTCTGAACTCGGATCACAACTATTTGATGTTAGGTGGCCTTCATTTGGATCCAAGGATGGCAGTTCAGATATTTTCTTGCCTTCTACAAGAGGTCCTTTTTTATGTAGGAGTACAGTTTCCGGTAAGGATAGAGACAGGGTCATGTTTTTTCTCATGCTTACAGAATCTGCCATTAAATAAAATCATATAGATGTCAGATAGGAAATGCATTCATCCTAGATCACTTAAAAAAAGGTGTAAGGAATGAATTATGCTTGAGTAATCGGTGTTTTAAGCATATTATGGGGCTAATACAAAGCTATAATGTGAATCAGCTAGAATGGTATGAAAACTTGGGCTGGTTAAATTGTGAATGATGGCCTTCACCACAGTTTACAACCACATTTTTTCATAATATGTGTCTCATATAATCTGACAGATTCTTCAATTGTAAATTTGAAAATTCTGCCATCATTTCTACCCCATTGAATAAAAGGGATTTTTAATATATAGTATAAAACAGAAAAATATTAGCCCTTTCACATACATAAAAGCTATTTTCTTTTACTAACTATTGATATTTAGTTCTAACTATGTTTCTTCAAATCCAGATGGAAAAATTAAAGTCCTGAAAATACTATCGACTTCATTTAAAAATCATTTATTATTTCAGCAGCATAACTTCTATCAGTAAACATAATAAACAAAAGGTTTTTTTAAATGTAAATTTTAATTGTATCCTCTAAAATTATTTCAAACAAAAATAATCAAAAATTTCAATTCAGCAAAAAATCTTAGTATAAAGTAACCTCACTTTGTGGTAGCTGGTGAACTATGCTAGCCAAGAATTTGACTACAGATATATATAATTGATAAATTCTGTGAGAACCTGTGCTTCACACAAAGAAGGCTAATTAGGGTTTGTTTTATCTGAACTATCTCTTCCACTGTCAAATCATGTTATCTTATAAGCGGATGATGTTTCAGGTCTACTCTCTACAGACCTTTCAGGCAAAGTTTGCTAATAATGTTTGGTCACTACAGTTTAGCTATGGTTTACTAATGGTTTCATATTAGTAATAAGCCAGAACAAAACATGTCCCATTATAGTTTAATTATATGAAATCAATATTTTCAAGAAAGCAAAATTCTTGTATGAATTTCTTAACTATTAACATTATGAGTTTAATTTTACAGATTGCTATTAAGTGCAAGAAATTAACCCAGGCTTCATCAAAGACTATATATCTTCATATATAGCCCAGCCCAGGTTCGAATCTCAGAAGGGTATGTCTGGTTGAAAAGAACTAAAAAGTTCGAAATGGCTATTCCAGTTCTCCCTTAATTCTTTGTTAGCAATCGAAATTTTGAAAAACATATATAATGTCGCAGTTGCAACTGCTAAGCCTGCGGATGGCTCTAGTTTGAGCTGATACAGGCAAAAGATTCCTTTCTCCCATATTTGGGCCGACAGGGTGCACCAAACTCTCTCTCT